ACTTCTATAGTAAATAAAGCAAGGAGATAAGTAAACGAGGCCTTATATAATAGGGCTATAAAGGCTGAACTAATTAGGGACTAGAAATAGAACATCATAAGCCCGATTAGCCCGGGCTCCTTTGTTCTTATTAGAGATAAAAGCTCGAAGAAGTAGAGGGATCGCCAGTATAGCCTATATAAGGTTATTATAGTATATCCGCTTAGTACCTACTAGTTATAAGACTACTATAGTAAATTCTTAAAGTTATTAATCTATAGGTCTTAACTTAAGGTTATTCCGCCTACTTCTATTAACCTAGATATAGGTAAATAGAGGGAAGGCAAGTAAGTAGTAAAAGCTTTTAAGAGCGCGAAAATTATTGCTCATAAAATTATTAGCCCTAGACTAAAGGAGATTAAACGTCTTAAGGATAGCTTAATACCTAGTTTTACCTATAACAAATTAGCTACTATTAGTAGAGCTAAGTAGATTAAACTAAATTCTAGAAGGCTAGAATATTCTAAAGTAGGGGAGGATTCTAAGTAAGAAGAATAACTTATTAGATTTTTAAAGGATATTCTTAACAAACTAGATAAAACGTTTAATATCCTTATAAAGATAGCCTAAAAAGAGGCTATAGATAAAGAGTAGGAGGGCCTAGAAAACTCTACGCTTCCTCTTCTAGATAGAGTAATAAACTTACTTAGCCTACTAGAGTAAATTCGTGTATAAGAAAAGCGACTACTAAAGAGACTCCTTCTTACTTTAGGTAAGGAGGTAGATAATAAGTATAGACTACCTGGCTTCTAGGAAATTCCTATAATAGAAAGGTCTCTATAAAAGAGGGGTAGGAAACCTTAAGTAACTAAGATATAACTAGTCGAAGTTAGACCTAGAACTCTAGGCTTATAACTAAAGGAGAAGAGGTTAACTAATTCCCTAGATTACTATAAAGGAATAGTACTAAAGAGAGGTAGAGGAAAACACCTACCTTATAGTAGCCCTAAAATAATACTAGAAACAAGGAATAAAACTTATAAAAGTAACTTTGAGATTTATATCCTAGCCTTCTAACTACTATAAGACTTAGAATTATAAAAGAGCTTAACTCTTTAGTCTTAAACAGAGCTTTTTAGGCTTCTTCTACTCCTTTAGAAATACTATTTTATTTATTAGTTAAAAAACTAGAGCTAGGCTCTATTAAGACCTATATAGGACTGATCCTAGCTTATATCTACGATTAGCTAGACTTGTTTATAGCTATATTTGAAGCTTTCGTAGCTTATCCTAAGCTATATTTGAAGCTTTCGTAGCTTATCCTAAGCTATTCTAGCGTTGATTAGAACTTATTTTAGTATTTATTAAGGTTTATTTAGCTTTAACAGAGTATTTATTAGGAGAAGCCTAAGTAAAATTAGCTATTTATTAGTTCTAAATTTAGTAGAACTAAGCTATTATTATATAAGAATTTAATAGCTATACCTTATTATTAAGCTAAAAGTAGAGTAAATAAGTATATTAAAGTCTAGTATAAGTAACTTTTAAAGTATAATAGTAGTATTAAAAGTATAAAATTAGAAGAATAAAATACCGAAATTTAGTATTATATAGAGCGCTTAAACTTAAGAGAAAACTATATAAGAACCTCTAAAAGAAATTATAAAGAAAGAAAACCTATTTAAAGAATCTACTAAAAGCTACCTAAAGCCTAAAAGAATAGAGAAACAAAGAAACTACTAACTAGTACTACTAGGTAACGCCTAAGGGCGGGCTTATATCTTACGCTTCTTTAAAGGACTTTGTCTCTTATACTTAGCCTAGGTATTATTGTCTTTATTATTATCTTCCTTAACGTTATTATTATCCTTATCGCTTTTATCCTTATCGCTTATATTATCCTTAAGTAAACTAATAAGAGATACTACTCTACCCTTCTATACCTGAGTATACGCTTACTAATATACTTCTCTATAGTAAGTAAATCCCTCTAAGCCTTCCTAAGCGATTCTATATTATTAAAAGAATAATTACTAGAAATAATAACTCTACCCTAGGAAATACTATATAACTACTTAAAGCGCTAACACTTAATAATACTAAGGCTAGTTTTAGTAGAATCTAGAAGGAGTTAGTAAAATAAAAAATTAAGAAAATATAGAAATCCTACTATAGTCCCTATATAAGGAATATCTAGTACTCTTACCTCCTATTATATAGTTAGTATAAGCGCCCTTCTTAATATAGGACTACTTTCTATTAATTATAATTAGTATAAAGGAAATATACTCTTAGAAGTAAGGAATAATATAAGGCTTCTTACTTATAAGAGTATTAAAGTAATCGAATAAAATTAGATAATACTATACTAAGTAAGATATAAGAAACTTACCTTAATATAGTACGAATAACGCTTACCACCTTAATATAAGGTGTCCTTGAACTAGATAATAATAGCCTTTATATAGGTATAGGAGGACTTCTTTACGATTAAGCGGTTCTAACTAATAGAACGGAGGACCTTCTAAGTAGCGTTATTCCGGAGGTTTACTATATTGATAGGAGCTACCTCCCTACTACTAAGGGCGTCGAACTCTTATAAAGCCTCTAAGGTAGCTTAGTTAGTATTAATATTAAACTTACCTACGACAACCTTACTATCTTCCAAGGAGTCCTTATCTTTAGATTTATTATTAGAATCTTTAGAAGAAGAAGAAGAAGAAGAATCTAAATTATTAGAAGAACCTACTATAGATATAGGAGAAGGAGAGCCGGCAATACTAGGCGAGCTAAGAGAAGGAGAGGTAGTAGTACTAGTCGGAGTAGGAAGAAGGGATTATTAAGTGGTAGATACTAGAGAATTTAGAAGAGAATCTATAAAACCTTCCTAAGGTTCTTTAATAAGAGAAGGCCTTGCCTTCGCCTTTCCCTTCGCCTTCGATAAATTAAGAGGAGCCGGGCGGGATTTCTATATAAGAGTTAGTTTTATAAAAAAGTAAATATTAAGTATAAATACTAAAGTTTTAAGAGGATTAGGAGTAGTAAAAGAGTAAATATAAGTAGCAGCCTTAGTAGCTTACTTCTCTTTATATTCTATAGCCTTCTTTAGCTTACGGTTTATATATTTGTTCTTATTCTTCCACTACTTCCTAGTAAGAGGTCGAGAAATAGGGTTAGGAAGGATAATCTCGGGCTTATTATGATTAGTATAGTACTCCATACTAAGAGTAAAGTAACGTTTTTTACTACTACTAGAGCTACTACCAAATCTACTAAGGCTACTAGTAGTAATACTACCTATAGCTAGGTATAATACCACTTAAGTAGATATATTAGTAAAGGAGCTTAAGTAAGTATAAAGGGAGCTAGAGATAAGATATAAGAAGGTTTAAGTGAAGAAAGAAGGTTAAGAGAGAAAGGTAGGGTAGGTAAGAAAAGTTATTATTATTAGTTAAAAGAAAGAAGTAAAAGGTAGATAAGGAGGTACCTTAATATAGACTTCTAGGAGCTTAAAATTCGCCTATTTATATATTCTTCGAGTAAGAGAAATACTTAAACTAGACGTTATAGAGGCTATTAATAGCGAAACCGGTAGGAACGATCCCTAGTAAGCTATAATCGCTTATCTACGGAGTAACTTAATAACTTTAGCTCCTATAAATAGAGATAGTAAGAGATAGATTCTATATTATTCAAAGAGAAATACCTAGGCTAAAAACGCTTTGCTTTAGGTAGTTTTAACCTATATAAATAGATATATCTATACTTGTTTAGGATAAAAACAAGGCTATTAATACTCGAGTAAGAGTACTTATTATCTAAGTAGGGGAGGATATAATATTGAGCGGCCTAATAGGTTCGGTGTAAGCGAATCAGGTATAATATCTTATGTAATCTAGTCCTCGCTCGAGGTATATAGCTAGAGTTCTTTCCTACTTCAAATGGTATACTATTTTTACCCCTCGAATTATTATAAAGGCCTTAGTTCTTTTATATTCTTATTTTAGTAGTATGAATTTAAAAACTTTCATAACTAGATTTATACCGGATTTGTAACGATTCTAATCTAAAATAATATTTCTTAGCTAAATACTTATATAAAAGTCGCGAATCTCGTGAATCTATTTATAAAAGAATTATATACAAAAGTTATTTATATAGTACAAAAGTATTTGCCTCGTGAGCCAAACATACTCTTATATTCTAGACTTTCTAGTCTTCCCAGCTCTCTAGCCCATATACTCACCTCAAAACACTTCGTACTTTCTAGATTTGTTATCCCAGTTAGATTTCCAGGTTACTCAATTAACACCCCTTCATCCATCCATTCCCCCATCCGTCCACCACCATCCGTCCACCACCATCCGTCCACCACCATCCGTCCACCACCATCCGTCCACCACCATCCGTCCACCACCATCCGTCCACCACCATCCGTCCACCACCATCATCATCATCACCATTCACATCATGTACTGCCTTATTTCATCCATCACACCTGCACCAACCCACCAAATTTACTGAATAAATCCACGTCACGTGCCCGCCCAGCAACGCAACCTGGAAATTTTGGTGTTGGGGGTACAGGACCAGGGTCCGCATTACCTCGTACGTAATTGTTTCATTGTTTCCTTTCCTTGGCTGGCTGGCTCAGTCAGGCTGGGGATATTCCGTCCTGTACTGTAATAGAATGATGGGGTTTTGGAATTCGTTTCAGGAGTTACTTCGTAGGGTTCAGTTCTTGGGGGTGGGGGAAGTTTTTTGGTACTTTAGAAGTGTGTGGTTTGGATTGTGAGTTTTGTGTTGGATGGTTTATTCTATTGTATAATGTATTGACAGGAAAGTGAAGTGAGGCAGGAGCGCAATGTAAATGTAAATGCAAATGGGGTATCTAAGAATGCGCTCAAAAATCAAAAATCCTCCCGAGCTCCTATGCACGTTCCAAACACTCGTCCATGAGATGCGATTATCAGAATCCTCCACCACTCCACAGACCCAGGATTCCTTACCATGAAATTCCTCTAGTCAATCAAAAACTTCCCCTTCCCCTTCTGATCCTCATCGTCCGTACCGAAATTCCTCTTCATAAACCCCTTTCCAGGCTGTACATCCCCAGACACACCCGATCCATCAACCTGTGGAACTTCCGATTGATGAGCATAACTCATTCGTTTGTTCATCTGAGCCGTATCCCTTGCCGTATGATATTTCGCAAAAACCCGCTCCACGAGATCCGACAACTCCTTCCTACTAATATCCTCCCCCGAAATCGCAAGGCGGATGTCCGTCTCCTCGATGAAATCCTGCACCTTTCGCATCTGATACTCGTCTTTTCGCAAGCGATCCGGTAGTCCTTGGCCTTTTAGTAGTGCTAGTATTCCTGCTAAAGAGGCGTTGAGCACACCCAGGATTGTGATTGCTGTAGGATGCAATTTGGAGAGAGGACCGAGGGAGGCTAGGACTGCGCCGATGAGGACTTGCAGGCCGAGAGCGAAGTAGTAGATGGTGTTTACGATGTGGTATTGGCGGGCTCGCCAGCGTTGGAGGAGGAGGATTTGTTTGTAGAGACCTTTTGCGTCCCTGCGGGCAGATTCGAGGTCATGGTTGATACCGAAGGAGGTGCTTTCTATTCCGATGGCCTCGCGAAAGCGTTCGAGGTTTGAAGCAATGCCCGTGCTGCCGGCATTGCTGCCCAAGAGCGGTGTCTGTTCGCATTCGGTAACCATAACCATGGCGTGGTGAGTAGCGAAGAGGTTGAGTTACAGTTGAAATGGAGTTATACTTCGAAGTAGTCGTGCATTGCTTGCCATGTGCAATCACCTACACATGCACCTGCACTCGCCATCTTCTCGATGTTTAACCGCAGCAAGGAGCATGCTTCTTGCCATGATGAGGCTCGAGGGGAGGTTCAGCAGGAACTTTCTTCGGCTGGTCTCATCATGTGCTTCGTTGAAGAGGAAGTAGCGATGCAGCTGATGACCAAAGTCTTAAACTCGCCAGACTCGTGGACGGAGAAAACAAGCGACCAAATCCTCCGTAACCCCGCCACGGAGAGATGATAAGGATGCTTGGCCTTGTAGACGAGATTGGTGGTAGTCAGCGGGAGAGAAAAGAAGAGGTCTGAGTAAGGTTCTACGACGTAGGTCTGAGCAGGCGTTCGTTGAATTAAAAACTGCCAAATTTACTTTGTGGCGTCAATTCAGACGGAACGTGTTGTCAACGTTTTCCGGAAGTTTATACTTCGTGAGTAAACCTAGTCAAATATTGGATGACAGCTCAAAACAGACAGAAATACCAACACAAATGACGACGGAAAGGAAAGTGAAAAGACGGAATTGTGAGCGGAAAAGGATTACTTGGAAGTCATACTCCAGTGCACGTCACGTGCCAGGGTGACCATCATAGGTGGGTAGGTAGGTAAGTAAGCTAGCATGTATATCTATATATAATAGCTCGCATATATAGCTATTACGTATATTGTTTCGACAAGACCTCAAGCATGTTTCCTGTTAACCACGAAGCGGATCTGGGGAGAAGGAGAGACGGAGAGACGAAGATCTGCCATGCAGTCGGCAGGCACGATGCCGGATTTTGAGCTTACCGTAGAGTACTTCGTGTGAGCACACGTGAGTATGGCGTGTGCAAGCCATCCAGGTTCTCTGGGTGTTTGTCTCGTCCCCTCGTCTTGCTTTGCACAAGCTTCCACTCAGGCCAAGCTTTTAAAATAGGCCCCCACCCGCCCCTCCTCTTCGGGGGCGTACAAGCCACCATCAGCCACTGGTCAGCCACTCCGCTCCCACGATCCCAACGTTCATTGGTGCTGGACCCCCCGCTGCCCAGCGGACTGCCCTAAACATGAGGAAGGAGCCTTCAAGGAGCGCAAGGAGCGCAAGGACGAGACCCAACTATAATCCACTCATATCCACGCGCTCAGGGCGCATTGCAAAGCTAACCCCCGCGTGTTTTATTGAACCATGGAAACAATTGAGATGAGTGTTCCATACTTTCCAGCTGCGTGACTTGTAACTGGCCAATGCTACCTCCTCGGCCTCAAAGTACCGCTATGGATTTTCCAAGATCCACCCAAATCCACTACCTACTCGATAGGGATGAGGAGTCCAGCCCGAATGGGAGCCCGGATGAGCAACCAGGGAGCCATTCCTCAAACTACTTGAATGATGGCACCCTCACGGTTTTGGAAACTTCACGGCATCATCACCATCATCAGCCTGGTTGACGCTTGTTTCATTTTTGCCTCTTTTTCTTGGTCTTTCTCTTTGATATCACGAGACGAGACCTTCCTCTCCTTCACATCTCACCTAAGCCATGCGTTTCTCCACAATCGTCCTGGCAAGTGGCCTGGCCACGGTCGCTTATGGCCAGACTCAGTACACATCAACCGCAGCAGAAGATGTGGCAGCTGCGAGAGCCACCGCTCCAACCTTGAGCCCTACCAGTCATGTCAAGGGAAAAACATTCGACCGTTTCGTTCAAATCTGGTTGGAAAACACCGATTTCGAAATGGCAGCAGGAGATCGTGAGTACTTGCCATGCCTCGGCCCTCGCTTCTCCACTAATATTCCAATTTTCAGCATCTATCCAGTGGATCGCCAAGCAAGGAATCACACTCACTAATTACGATTCCATCACACATCCTTCGCAGCCAAATTATGTGGCTTCGGTCGGAGGAGAGCAGCATGCCCAGGTTATTCTGGATTTCTTCTCGAGGATTAGGTCTTCGGAAAAGACCATTTGCGATCTGTTAGATGACAAGAAAGTATCATGGAGCGAGTACCAGCAAGACATGCCTTATTCGGGATTTCAAGGGGATTTTGTGAACCAAGTCAACGGGGCAAACGCCTATGTTCGAAAACACAAGTGAGTTTCTTCTCATATAATATAAAGCAAAGAAAATACTAATATTCTCACCAGCCCTTTGATCTCTTATGATTCCGCCAGCTCAGACGTAGTCAAGCTCTCCAAAATGAAGAACTTCACCATGTTCGACCGAGACCTTAAAGACAACAAACTCCCTCAATGGATGTTCATCACCCCCAACATGACCAACGACGGCCACGACTCCAGTATCACCGTCGCCGGCGCATGGGCCAAGGGATTTCTTGAGCCCCTCCTTAAGAACAAAAACTTCTTGAACAACACCCTAGTTCTCCTCAGTACGTTCTGCCCTTCTATATTGACCATTCCCCACTAACCTTCTTCCAGCCTTTGACGAAGCAGAAAACTACTTTGCAAGAAACCGTGTCTTTTCCGTCTTATTGGGAGATGCTGTCCCAAAGGAGCTTCACGGGACGACTGATGACCATGCTTATAGCCATTACAGCATCATGTCAACAGTCGAGAATAACTGGAACCTGGGAACCCTGGGGAAAAGGGATAGGAACGCGGCCACTTTTTTTTAAAAGGTGCGCTGGCGCAACTAATGAGATATGAAGAAAGGTCTCAACCTGTAAATACTCTTCAAAACTAAATAATCAAAAATCAAGAAAAAAGAATAAAATTTATTAAAATTTAAATAACAAGCTTGTTAATTGTGTTATGTGATGATATGTGGGATTTATCATTTAGGGGGATGCTCACTTGTAAGGAGGTACATTTTCTAGACGATAATCTAGATGAACTTCCTGAATACGTAAAAAAGGAAGCTGTTGTTACGAGTAGTAAGAACAAGAAAGAATCCAGGCACGAGTATCGCTCCGTACTCGTACATGACAAGTACGAAGTACACTACCGAACCACCTACAGTACCGTATACGAACTCCCGCAAGATGTTACAAATAAGCTTAACCTTAACCTTGAGCTTGAGCTTACTCATGAGCCTCTTCTGGAAGAACGGAAAAGCTTGAATCCCTCGGCATATAATTTATACTTTTACGGAGTACATTTTACTTTCGTACTTCGTACCTACTTGGTAGGATTTTACGATTTTACTTCGAAGTACGAAGTAAATACCATGCTTGCTGCTCGCAGGGAATAAATTGAATAATATAACTTTACTTCTAAATACCATGCCGCGCAGGGAATGATATAACTTTACTTACTACTACCTTTATCCGAAATTATCCCTGTCCCTGTTACAGTAGCACGCTACTTTCCGTAGAACTTAGATTTCGTGGGTAGATCGTGGTAAATCGAAGTTAGGAGGAAGAAGGATGATAGGGTGTGTGGGTAGAGGGTAGAGGGTAGAGGGTAGAGGAATTGATTTGCTAGTTTATATGGATTTCTTACTTACACTTGAAGCTATAGTATATAGGGGTAGAAGGTGGCTAAGTAGCTAGGTAAGATACTTAGTTAAATGAATCGTACTTTTGATTATACTTAATTTTGTTAGAGGAGATGAGGGGTAGCTGTCTAATAACTTGTAAAGCTACTTAATTCTCCTATATACTTTTAAAGTTACAAATAGCTTTATTTCCCCCCCCCTCCCCCC